GGGTTGCACTTTTTACAACAATTTATCATAACTAAAAATGTTGACTGCTTTGTATAAATGCACCTTTAAAAAAACTAACTGTCAAGATCTGTAGCTTAAAGAACTTAGATGTCACTCATCAATTAGTAGTAATAACCAAGGAGTACTTCTAAATGAATTTGCCATATTAATACTTTGTAATCCTTTATGTGGGTTAAAAATATACCCTACCAACCAGCTGGTTACTTTATTTAGCACTGGTGTTTGCTGTTGTAGAATCTTAGTATAATTATGCAAAGATGTTTTGCATTTATATATGTTGTGGAATAGTTGTTTACCTATGTAAAGATGTGTTACATATGTTTGTTGTGGAATATTTATTTAATTATGAATAGATGTGTTGCAATTGTTTATTATGTAAAGATGTACTGCTGTTTAACTTGCCTGCCTAATGCACCTGCTTGGTCTAATAAAAAGCTGAATAGCCAATACTGAGGGAGCCAATACTGAGGGAGGAAGTATAGGCAGAACTTTTGGGAAGGGAGAGTAAGTAGGGGGAAGAGTTTAGGCTCTAGAGAACGAAAAGGAGGCAGGGAGACACCAGGGGCCAGCCAGCCAGAGAAGAAGGAAACAGGAAAATAGGACATACAGAATGAAAGAAAAGCCAAAATGTAGATGAATAGGAACAGGTTAAATTAAGTTAAGACAGCTAATGGGACAAGCCTAATCTTAAGGCCAAGCTTTCATAACTAATAAGTCTCTGTGTCTTTATTTGGGAAGCTTGTTAGCAGCCTAAAGAAAATACCAACTACAGTTCACTATTTTCATCATTTGCACATTTTCTTCCCCAATATAGCATGTTGTGGAAATTGTGATCTTTTAATTGATATATGCACTTTGTTCTAAGGCCATTCATTTTTGATTTGCATATTATGTTATACTGCTTTCCAGGTGTTTATTCCTAAAACTAAGTAAATATTCCATGACTACTCTAAAGAATTACAGAAATCAGACTACCTGAACCTGTTCCATAAAATAGTATTAATCTTGACTTTCTGCAATATAATATATTGTAGAAATTTCTCTAGTTGTCACCAACTTAAATGCTTTTACACATTATAAATAAAGCTGAATTATCAACCTTTCATCACATTTCCCTAGAACAAATCTTCATAAGGTTAGCAGCAGGTAACACTGGTTCCCTACTCAACCAAAACAGCATTTTCCTTAATATGAGATACACTTTGTTTATGACAATTTATTGGGCAGAAGGTACCAAAGTTTTATTTTGTAACTTGATTTCCTTTTTGGTGTGATGGATTTAAAAATGTGTAATGTACTTAAGTTTTAAACCAAACAGTTAAGGTAGAATCCTCTAAAGGTCTTGGTAAAGACTTTCTATAATAAGTTATAATATAAATGTATTTTATTTATATGAATAAAATATAAATGAATATATAAATAAAATATAATTATAAATCTATTATCGTCCATTTTCTTTCCCATATGAAGATTTTAGGTGTGTGTGAGAACTTTTGTGGAATCATGACAACCATCTAGCTGGTAACCATGGATAGAAAGCTAAAAGTGCG